AGGCTTTCCTGTCTTAAGGCAAACGGGTGACTCTTGATATGTCCGGTCCCCCAGTGTCTGCGGGCCTTGGCCATTTCTTAAGACTTCTGTCCAACCCATTAGCGCGAGGAGCAGAGCATTAGCGGGAGCAGAGAAGCTCCTGTGGTTAGGCCGGGAAGGAGGGCAAGAGGAGCCGAAACTGCACCCCAATCCTGCCGCCCGAACACGCTCCTGCCCTTGCGCAAAGCCACCCACCCACCCTTCTGTCCTGTCCAGTCTTCTGTGCTGGTTAAGGCTGGCGCACACTGTAGGAATCAATCGGGGCTCCGGCAGATTATTAAATATTTCCCAATCGCCCTGATTCAGTCTGGAAGGCTTAGGCCATCCTCCATTTCCGCAGCGTATTTTCAAAGAGGGAAAGGTGAAAAGGGAGAAATGGTGCCCTTTGTCCTTCTCGGCGAGGACAACCACAGGTAAAGCGTTCAGACACCGGCGAAGAAATGGAGGACTAGCTTTCCCTGGGGAGCGAGCGTGTTTCCTTTGTACATCGAACCCTGGCCAAGGGGTACTTCAGTTAGCAACAGCCCGTTTCCACGTTGGTGCAAACTATTTGGGACTTTGTCAAAGTTTGTTTTGTGGAAGGCAGCTCCTTTAGCTAGAGGCTCAATGGGTACCCACTAGAATGCGTAGAAAGGGTCCCCCCCCCCCTCTTTCATAGTCCTTTTCAGGAAAAACGTGAATAGTTGTTGTCAAAGTGGACGAGGCTGAAAAAAAGGGGTCCAAAAAGAAAAGGGGGAAAAAGCCTTGAAAAGTCTTGGAAATGGGTAGGTTTTGCAGGTGTAGAATGAAGCTAATAACCATGCACAGTGTGCGCTCCCCCAGTGTGGAGAGTGTGACAGGGACAGCTGGCTCCGTTTTCCCTGTGAAAACCCCCCCTTGGTGGACCATACACAACGACAGTGACCTTTCGGCAGGGGAACCAGAGCCGACCCTTTGACTGAATTAGTCACAAAGACGTCTTGCTATGACTTTTGTTCCTCGCCACAGCCAAGAAATATTGCGTTAAATATGAGAAGGATTGTCTCCAGCTTTCTTGTGCTCCTTCAGGAAATATGGCCAGACTGATTTAAGGGGGCTCGTTTCTCTTCGCCACGGCCTTTCATTCCTCTCCCCGCTACCTCCCCCCCCCCGACCTGGGGATGAGGAGGTGCGCTTTTTACAGCGTGTCTCCTTCCAAAGAAGAACGCTGACTCTGGGTGTAACAGCGGCGAATTTATCAATCTTTTCAGGATCTGACAATACTTGGAAATACATCATTGTCACTGAGGTGGTTTGATAGATTAGCTGGAGGCGCCGAGCCTTTCCAAGGTCAAGTTGAAGATTCTCATTTGGTGTTTAACTGAAGTTTTTTGAAGGGCTAGACAATGGCTGCCTGTTAACTTGCCCCTTATTCTGGAGAGGAATCCCTTTAAATTCACTTTTTTACTGATATCACTTGGGGACAAACAGAAATGTGATTTTCCTATTCTTAGGAGGGGATTTTTTGGGGGGTCTTTTATGCTTTTCCATAAGAGCAGATGATAATTAATTACACAAAATCTATAAAGAGCCGAGAAAGGTCCGTGGGGACGAGAATGCACTTTTGTCGTTCTGCAAGCTGCTCGCTTTATCTTCTTTCGTTTCGCAATGAACATTTAGTGGTTTTCTCTCATTCGTGTTTTAATGCTTTCGCTTTTTCCACGAGTTGGAAACCCCAAAGAGTTTATTTGTGGCAGGCTTCCTTTAAAAAAAAAAAAAAAAAAAAAAACTAGCCTTGAACCTGTTGTCAAAGTCCCTTTGAACTTCCCTTCGCTGGGCTAAATATTTTCTTTCGCCTCTTTACAGATGTCTGCGCTAGTCTGGGTTGCACCCGCCGTTTCCTCTCCCTTTCGCTCTGAGATGATTGATATTTGTTATTCAATCCAACTTTTATTTACCTTGCAAAAAAAAAATGTTGGAGGGTTCCGATGTGATAAATTGCAGATATGCAAATCACATTGAATAGTCTTGTAAGTGTGTCTCGCTAGAGCTGAATGAGGCCTTGCAAGCCGGTCTGTGCGCGCTCAGGACCCCAGGGAGCTGATCAAAGCACCCATTCTCTTTCATCCCCGTTATTCTCTTCCAAACTATTTCGATACAATATGTTTCCATGATGCCCTTAATGGGCTTGGGACACAGAACTCATTACAACCTAGCTAGTTTTGCGGACCTCTTTGTTCAGAGGCAGAAAGTTAGAGAGAGGGAGGGAGGGAGGGAGGGAGGGAGAGAGAGGTGGGGGGGGAGAAGGGAAGGGGGAGAGAAAGACGCTCTGCTAGCTGCCAGCTTTCTAAAATGCTAAAGCATGTGTCATTTTTCACTGGATCTCTTCTTCATATCTTCAAAAGAAAAACTATGAAATCAGCCTGCCTTTTCTAGCATAAATTTTACTGCTGTCCAGACATTTCTCTGCAAGATAAATTTTCTCTTTTTGCAAGACAACTTATTTTTTTTAACCTTGAATGCATTTTTGTCAATATGGAGGAAATGAAAATGAATTATGCTATTTTTATTATTCACTTTAACTATTGAGATCATAGAAATCTGTAAATTGGTATAATATTGCAGACATATTATACCAAAATTATTCCTGAAACTAGTTTCACATAGATTAAAGTTTATTTCAGAAGCAGAATTTGGATGAAAATGAAAAACTTGATTAAAAATTCTCAGCAATTCCAAATCACCCTTCCCCAAATTTGTTGCAGTGCTCAAATTTCCACCATCAGATTACAATAGCGATTTCAGGAAGGAAGTTTTGGTCCATAAATGGCAATTTTATTCTTGAATTAGTGGTAAAGCAACACATAATTTGCAAATATGAGGCCAATATGGTAAAACTCAAATTTTCAATTCAACTGACACCTATTCAACCATAATCTTTTCAATGGGTGAATTCAGCATAAAAGTCTTGCAGAGGTCCCATCAGCTACTAGCCGACAAGAATGAAGTAGAAAATTCTAGCTCTGTCGCCATCTAGTGGTTGCTTGGATTTCTGCAAAGGTGATTCACACAAATGTGAGTAGGACTTTCCAAGAGTATAAACTGATCTTAAGTAGATTTAAAAGAAAGCCTGAAAAGCAGGAAGCTAATCTAGACCGGAGTTTTTGCAGCTTGATGTTGCAGGGTCTCATGACTGGCAATTCATATTAAATTTGAGAAACGAAAAAGAGAAGAGGCTGCAGAAGAGAGAAAGAAGGGAAGGCTTGGATTTCCTCCTCTCTCTCACTTGGATTGCCCATCTTTTGGGCAAGGACTTTGAAAGTTTGGATTTAATGCTGAGCAAAGTCAGAATCTGGGTGTCCTTTGATGGCCCTGCAGCGGAATAACCACATGTTTGGGCAGGTTTGCTGCTGGTGGCTCTCAAAGGAAGCTCATCATCTCTATTTCTCTGATAGGAACTGTGAGGAGCTAGTGCATTTGTTTCTGAGTTGATTTGTTGATGGAAAATGGCTGGCAGCCAGTTCTGGGAACGATTCCAGCCCTGACTCCGATTAACCCTCTCTGGTGAAACTCTGCTGGAAACCAACTCACCAGCCATTGCCATTAATCTACTTACTAATTAAGCCAATTCATTTCTAAAGGAGGAAAAATGCCTTTCTTTGGCCCAAGTAATGGGAGGAAATTTGAAAGAAGCGCCAAACTGTGTAACTGTAATTCAGGCAGGGGAATTGCTAAAACAAGCTTGTTGATATATAGCAGGAGGTTGAAACCAAGTTTCTAGGGCAACAATCCTTTGGAAATGCCTCTGGCACACAGAGTAAAAGGAGCTGAGCTGAAGCCTGAAGAACGGTAGGGGCTTGCAAAGGGCCATTGTATGAAAAGGGTGTGGGGGAAACACTGTCACCCCCCAACCGAGTTTCTGCTCATTTCACTCTTGCATCCTGTCTGGTTGCCATCAGCTTCATTCTAATTGGGTAATCACAAAGAATTTGGAGCTTCAAGCCCAAACAAGACAAACATTTTGTGATCTTGGTGCAACTAGGCTAGGAGTACAAAATCAATGGCTAATTAGTGCCCAAGAGGCAGTCACTTACCCAAGTACCTTTGTTTTGTTCAGCGACTTTTATCCCCTCATCTTTCACTTGTATTTGTAAGCATGTAGTTATAGCTCAAAATCATAAGGCATCCTTGAACTTCATTGTCATTTTGCAAGTTTAAGAGTATAGTATAAGAAATCTTTAGGTTAGAAAGAAGTGCCCAACCAAATTATGGCACGCTTTGGGTGGAAGTTAAATACTAAAACCAGTTTTCTCCAAGCTGTTATCCTTGGGATGTGCTGAGAAGAGAATATCACCTGCAAAATAATCAATCATTACCAGAATCTCCAGCTGGAAATTCTGGAAGCTTAACTCCTAACGAATCTAAAGATCAACAGGTTGAGTAAATCTGACCTACAAGCCTAAAATCAGTTAGAAAGTCTGTATCAGTTGTTCTTTCCAAGGTTCGCTAAAGCAACACAAAAGGCAGCAGAAAAACAAACCCTGAATGAGTTCACCTGACACATTAATCAAAATGAAGCCCTATTATGCTTTAGCATATTGCCTGAATCTGCTGTAGATTACACAGCACAATGTGGATTAATACGGTCTGTGAATCTAAACCCCACATTGTAAAAATAAATATGCCAGGAGCAATATTGTGTTCTGCATGCTGAATCTTGGACCCCCTCAACATCATGTTTTAAACTAATATATCTTGAAAGGGGTATTTAAAACAGATTGGACAAAACTATTTTATCTTCAAAGTTCTCCTGTTTTCCATATTTAAAATGACAGCTATTTAAATAAAAAGTCATTTTATTTTGATGGATTGACAGAGCAGATTTGATTTTACATTCCACAAAGTAGGCATTCTTAGAAATCAAGCTCAGTTTAACAACTAATTTTTTATTGCATTTTAATGGTAAGTCTTTTGCAGAATAATAATTGAGAGAGATATGGCCCTAAATTTCTTTATTTAAAGCTTTTATTTATTTTTGAAGCAGGAAAAACACTCCAGTGGTCCTTAACAGTTAGAAGGAGTGCCCCAGAAATATCTTGATTCATTTCTACCATTGTGACATTTGGGCAGAAAATGCTCAAGCACTTTCTGGAGCAATGGCTTCTCATCTGGCCAATTTGTTTTGGGTTCCTTCTAAGCTTTAGAAAAACAAAGCATTCAACCTTTTTGGTGCAGACAATTGTTCCAGATAAGACAGAGGACTCCAACCCACATCAGTGTTCAGTAGACACAAGAGGTGAAGGCAGTAACTTTGATTGCTCAACCCCTTCCTCATCTGCAGAAAAAGAAAGAAAGATGAGAATCATTTGAATGTGTAATCTAACCCAGGTCTGTTTGATAGGAACAAGGTAAAATGGTATCTTGCTTGGCTGATGGATTACAGAAAGGTACGTGTATGGCTGTAGCATATAATGAAAATCCAGCCTGTGTAATGAAGTTATTTTTCAGTGTATCGTGTGGGCCAGAAAATTGGGGTATGTCTTCAAAGTATAGACTATGCTTGCATGCTTTCTTTGATTTGGGTTTAATGTATTTGTGAATCCAGCTAATAAAGTTTTAAACCATGCTTCATGGCTTGCCTTTGATTATCATTAATTATAAACAGTGGCTAGCTAAATCATGGCTTTGTGTTACAATATAAGGAATCATACTTTGGTTGTTGGGGCCACATCATCCACTATCACTAAAAATTATCTTGTCCTGATTAAAATCTAACTGCCGCATTAAATTTATTGTCGGTCAATGTAGGAAAAAGAGACTATTAAATTCCCAAAGAGGCTAACTATGGTAAAGTACATTTAGACTACAAAGCATTTGCCACCATAGTAGCATTTGGATTGCAAAATAGTCTCTTATGGTTTTGAAAAGTCAGCATCATATATTATGGGAACTAATTTCACTTTTATGCAATATGTCTGGTCTGTAAGCTAAGACTGTGAAGATTTCTGGGATGAAAAAAGTCTCCCTCATCAGTATACTCAATAGTCTGTCAGTGGCAGAGATCTCCAACCTTGGCAACTTTAAGCCTGGAGGACTTCAACTCCCAGAATTCCCCAGCCAGCTTTGCTTTGCTGGCTGGGGAATTCTGGGAGTTGAAGTCCTCCAGGCTTAAAGTTGCCAAGGTTGGAGACCCCTGGTCTATGGTTTTCTCTAGTATAACCATCGTACAATCAGTCCCATTTCTAAACATTCAAGAACTGTATCAGTTTGGTTTGAGTTTTATGCGACTTCATTAAAAACAGGCCAAAATTCTACCCACACACTTTTAGGAGAAAGCTTGCTGGATATTGTTAAAAATTGGTTGTGCATCTATGGAACATTTGCTTTTGTTTGCATGACACATGGAAATAAAAATGACTCCATAACATTTTAACCTAATGTGTGGGATAGACCAGACCTATGTGGTTACATCATGGCTCTCTGTGTTGTATAAACTCAGAATCTTGGCTCAACTGAATATAACTAGGATTTGCAAACAAAAAACCAACAATCCACATAAAATACACAACCTGTCAAATTTATTACTACAAAAGGTTTTTCTGAGTGCCATTTTTGGACCAATGAATGCAAATGCTTTTGAGTAGTTTAGAAAGAAGGAGAAATGATTTCATTGAATAACTAGTTATAAACAATGGGTTTGGATTTATGTAAATTTTAAAATTAATTGAACTCTAAAGCATAACTCTAAAACACACACACAAATTCACTACTCAGTCCTGCATTGGCTCCCTGTAAATATGTCATAGTTATCTACTATATTTTTTTCCACTTTGAAACCCATTAGTAGTCTATCCATTTCTTGTACTGACTTGTCTACTGGCAGACTGGCAAACAAAACTTGAATCTTTGGTTAGCATTTTAGAATAGAATAACAGAGTTGGAAGGGACCTTGGAGGTCTTCTAGTCCAACCCCCTGCTTGGGCAGGAAACCCTACATCACTTCAGACAAATGGTTAGCCAACATCTTCTTAAAAACTTCCACTGTTGAATAGAATAATAACAGAGTTGGAAGGGACCTTGGAGGTCTTCTAGTCCAACCCCCTGCTTAGGCAGGAAACCCTACATCACTTCAGACAAATGGTTATCCAACAACATCTTAAAAACTTCCACTGTTGGAGCATTCACAACTTCTGGAGGCAAGTTGTTCCACTGATTAATTGTTCTAACTGTCAGGAAATTTCTCCTTTGTTCTAAGTTGCTTCTCTCCTCGATTAGCTATGATTAGCATTATTTTTCTAATGCAAAGTTTACGGTTTTAATAGCTTTAAAGCATGCAATACTAAAACTAATACAATTTTAATAGTGTAGCTCTATCCTGCTGTGTTAATTTATCCTAAAGGGAAGTGGGAAGAGAGAAAGGCAGACAACCTGTCCCAAATTCAGCCAATGAAATTTTTGTTAAGTATAATTTTGAACCAAGGGATTTCTACAAAATCCAGCACTTTCATTCATTATAGCCTACTACTTCTTACCCTGAAATACAGTTTCCTGAATTGGACAACCTTTAAGAGATGGACAATCCATAAGACATTGTGGCTAAAAAACTTTGGTTGCAATCTTATATCCAATTTTCTGACAGTAAATCTATTTGAGTTCAGTGGGGCTTATTTTGGAATAGATATGTATAAGATTGTATCCAATGTTTTTCCTCTTTTATACATCCTTCTGGAAGTTTCACTGGGTTTTAGAACATCTGAGTAGATGCACATAAGATCATGGTATAATTCTGAAAAAGGTTCACATGTAAGAAAAGGAATTGGGTCCATTTTTGGGTGAAATCCCTTAATTTAGTGGGTCTTTCCATACCTGCCATGTGATCAGATGTGCTACAACATCTATACATAGTATAGGGAATGTAAGGTTTTTTGTTTTTTTAAAAAAAGCAGTCCTTGAAAGGAGGTGAAGTGGTTTTCAACAACAGACTACTTGTCTGTAGAACACAGTGAAATTAGGGAGTCTGTCTTTTACTAACAAGCTTCCTGTACTGCTAAGAGTTTTGTGAAAGACAGAAGTTCAGCAGGTGCAGCCTCCCCCCACCCCATGCCCCTCCTGGCTGGGAAAAATTACACTTGTTGAACTTCTGCCAGATGCAGCTGTTCCAGGCACAGAAACTTCTGTCAGGACAAAACGGTGGCATCTCCATTGTGGATCCCTATTAGCTGAGAATTCTCAGGCAGAGGCGAATGCCACCGAAAAGGCTCGGATGCTCTCCTTTCATAGGCAGCATTCATTTACATGTGAGCTTCTATTCCAGCTGCTGTGCAAACGTCTTATTGTTCACACACAGGTTGCTCTTGTGTGGAAAGTGACGTCTTCAAGCTTAGCAGTTAATCAGGTGACGTCACCAATGCAGCTTTTAGTGAAATACTGCTGTCCTGTTCAAAACCTTCCGAAGTTTGGGAAGCAGGTGCGCAGACATCTGTGAGAGAGTTTCTATAAATAACTACTCTTCATTTTCACTGCAAGTAGTGACAGCAAATCTCTAATTCTTTGGCAGGAAAAGCAGACAGGAAAAGTCAGCCAAGTGTCCAGTTCAAAGAGTCATAATGCACTTCTAATTAAATATTGCTTGTCCCTTTCTATCTGGAACATCAGTCCTCTGTTCTGGAAATTTTAGAATATACATCCACTTGAAAATTAGGTTTTACAGAGAGATGGAGGGAGAGAGGGAGGGAGGGAGGGAGGGAGAGAGAGGGGGAGAGAGAAAGCGCTAAGTATAAAGCTTCAATGCATTTCAACTGAAATTTACAAATGTAAAATTATTCATATAAGGACCTCCAATGGAAATGATTAATTTTATATTGTCTGAATATTTTAAAAAGCTTTTATGCAAAAAAAAAAATATCTGGGAAAAAATAGAGAGGAGATGGTAATTGGAAAAATAAAATAAAAAATCCATCTAATTGTAACCAATTATCATTTGCAAATACTACGAAATTAAACAGAAATGCATTTAAATATCTATTTATAAACTATCTCTAGCTAAGAAAATATGAGTTTTCTGTTGATCTGGAGCACTAGCTAGCACAGAGGCAATTATCATTAAAAGAAAAGTTCAAACAAGGGTTTTGCAAAACCAGCATTAAAAATTGATATCCCAGATGTTTGGATGTCAACATGAAATTGAGTGTGACAACAAGAGGATAAGAGTTAACACAAAGAAGAAAAGTTAGCTTCTTTCTTTTCTTCAAGCTTATCTCAGGTTTCATAGTAAAAATTGGATGCAAATATCCTAAAAAAGACTAATGACATTTCACAGGTAATGCAATTTAGAAAGAAACACTTCCATGTTTTCTTTTCCAACAATGTGCATTTTTGTAAACTGCTATAAATTGCAATTCAAAAGCCCTGATCTTCCCATCCCCAATCATTTTTTATACTGATCAAATGAATGCAGATACTCTCATTTGGGAGGGGCAACATGACATTTCACTTGGCAGTTCTAAACGGGTCACGGACCTTTCACAGACCCTAAGGCAGTGGGAGGGAGCGCTTTACGAAACCGTGTAACCAAATCAAACCAATGGTTACCCCCTTTCAATTCCACTGGAATGGCTTGCACAATGCTTATTCACATAGCAGCAGAGGAACTGAAAGGATGGTCATCCAATGGAAATGTCTTTTCCTTTGTTTGATCTTAACAGAGCTTCAAAATAGTAGAAAACCATTACATCTAGCAACAACAAAACCGCACACAAACCCAGTACACATCTTTGAGAAGGTGGATACATTAGCGAGGGTAGGGAGCTTCAGTGCTTAAAAACAGCTATGCAGGCTATATGGAATTGAATATGGACATTTATGGGAGATGTTGCTTTGTTTGAAGCCATGAACACAAAGACACAACATGGCTGCCCTGGAGATGACCTATTGCTTTCAAGTTGCTTGAGCACATCAGAATTTTCATTGTTAAGGTTGATTAATTGAAACTGATAAGTTACCATGAATAAAGATTGTTTTTCTGTTTAATGTGGTGGGCCTGATTTGGTAAATGCTTCATTCATGTAGCCTTGCAGTGCAGCATATGGGCAAGATTCATTCAGTATCACAAACATACAGAATTTATTATGCTTGTATGGTCACAGCGAAAAGGCCTTTCTAGTTTAATGTCAAAGTCTGAATGAAAAATTCCATTTAAAGTGTCACTAGTAATGTTGCATCTGAGTTTTGTCCTTCAGACTGGCTCTTTAGTTTCAAATTCAAAAATCGTACATTAAAAAGTTAAATTCAACAACAAAGTAGATGAGAGAGGTAAGGAGACATTGGCTTTCTTTC